TTATTTATTTATTAATAAATAAATAAATATCCCCTCTCACCTCTATGGGTGATATGTGTCTTCCTCAATCTTGGGTCCTCTGCCAGATGCCTGAGAGTTTGAGGTTTCTGCGCAGTATCTTAGCTGTTCCTAGCACTGCACCCTTCTGGATAGAGCGCTCTGATGTTGTACCACCACTGGGACCACTTTGGCCTTTCCATATCCTCTCTAGTTCCTCCTTCAGGCCCTGGTACTTCTCCAGCTTCTCATACTCCTTCCTGATGTTGCTGTCATTTGGCACCACTACGTCTATCAACACTGCTGTCTTCTGGCCCTTGTCTACTACCACAATGTCTGGTTGATTGATCAGTACCTGCCTGCCCATCTGGATCTGGAAATCCCACAGGATCTTAGCCCTGTTATTCTCCATGGCCTTCTGTGGAATCTCCCATCTGGACTTGGGAGAGTCTAGCCGATACACTCTGCAGATGCTGTTGTACACAATGCCAGCAGCTTGGTTGTGGCGTTCAGTGTACGCTATTCCTGCCTGCATCTTACACCCTGCTGCTGTGTTGGACTGTCTGAGGCCTCTGCACAATCTGCACCTTGAGAGAACCTGGATATATATTTATATATGGATTATTAAAAACTTTAAAGACAAAAACTAAACCTAATACAGAATAAAGAAAATTTAAAAAGGAAGAAGAGAAAGACAAAAGCGCAGAAAGATAAGAAATAGAAGCTTCCAATTTCCTTTGCAGCAAGCATAAGTCAATTACAAAGTTATCTTTTATTCCATGATTACAAAATCTCACTTTTCTATTATCCATTTTCTTTCTAATCATCAAAACCACAAGTCATAAGTGCATTTTTTTTCTCTTTCATGCAAAAAGTCTATAAGAGGTTTCCAGTCAGCCATAAATGTAGACACTTTTTTCTTTAATCAAGGAAGTCAGTTTAGCCATTTCAGCTAGTTCCATCATCTTCACCAACCGTTTTCTGCTTTTGAGTATATAATAATCTCACTGCAGTTGTCATGTAGAAAAACAAAGTTCCATGGGTTTTTTCTAACTGTCCATTAATTCCAAAAGAAAAGCCTTCGGTTTCAATTGTACATTAGTCTTTAAAATCTTCTGAATTAGTATATTTGTGTCAATTTTGGGGGGGTTTTTTACACATCCACCAAACATAAAATGTCCCTTTTATGTTGTTCACATTTCCAGCAAAGATTTGAAGTAGCTTTATACATTCTAGACAATTTCTCTGGTGACAAATACAATACATCATTTTATAAAAATTCTCTTTAAGGCTAAAACATAATATAAATTTTGATCCTTTCAACCACATATTTTCCCATTGCTCCATTTGTATATTATAGCCAAAATTTTAGCCCATTTTATCATACATTCTTTCACTTGTCTCATATTTCAACAAGAATGTATACATTTTAGCAATAATATGTTCATCATTGTACATAGTTCTATTTCTATTTGTATGTCCAAAACCATACACTACTTTATCCATTTTAAATCTTTCTGATAATTGTACAAAA